AATGTGCACGGGCACGAACGCGAAGAGACACGTTGCTTTTACACCGCCGCATTTTACGCAAAGGCGTAAAACGTGGATGAATAGAAGTTTCACGCGCGAGATATATTCTTTGTTGTCGAATCACGGTCGCCCAGCTGTGAATCGTCGTGTGTAATTAAACTTAACAATGTCTCTCCTTACGGAACGATAGCTGCATCATTTCTGCGAGGCACGAGTGCACCCGTATCGATGTCAAGGACACAGGACAACACGCGAATCGAGCCGCTGTAGTTTACAGTCGTCGTTTTCTTTTTTTCCTTCACTACAGTGATGTTTCCTTTTCAGGATTTAACGTATGACATCATCCTCACCTCGCTGCATTTTTTTTTTTACATATATAGTTTTTTGGTGTACGCGAGCGTTTTACGTCTCTTATATAATGTAACTCGTTACTTACGTGCGCACAGGCACTTGCAAACACTTCAGTCGCGGCAGCGACTTAAAAATAAAAGCATATCGAATACACTAATACTGAGCGTTCTGATATGCGTTGTCGAAAAGCGAGAGATTGCAAAATATATACGTCATCGTCCAATCTTAATTAATTAATTGTCTTAAAATTTATTATCGAACAGAGTATCTATTTTGAGAAAACTGGAATACTTAGAATTCTTAGGAAACTTTTTTGAAATTGCTTTTTCTATAATATAATAGAATTTGCTGATTAAATCGTTAATGATAACAGTGGACCCATCCATTTTAAACATCAGAACACATTGATTTTACGATTAATCTAATATTCAGTATTGAAGACAACGATTTTGTGTAATTAGGCAATTTTGTTTAATGAAAATGGATATTTATTTTATAAAAGTTTTATAAAAGAATTTTGAATTGGTTATGCATTTTTATTTATAACTTTTGAAGAAGTTTGAAAATTTTATGTAATATAAAATATTAATTTTTTTAGAGTCTTTATAGTTAAAAGTCTCTCTTTCAAGATTTTTCAAATTTAATTATTGAAACTCGAGTCTTAATTTTATGACTTATAAACTTTTATGAATGGAGAATATTAAGGACTTTGCACAACAAATATATATTTATTTGTAAGATACATTTAAAAGATACATTTAAAAATTTTTTTATTTTATTTCTTTAACAAGTTGCTTCGAAACTCAGAAAATTTTCTTTTCGAGTTTGAATTGACATCTTATTGAAATAATTTTCCGTTCATCTCAATTATTTTTATACGAATTCCGACAACTATATAATTCGTTCGTATCAAAAACTCGAAACTAATCATTAACATTTCTTAGAATTTCGTGAATTTCGTATATGTGCGAGAATATCTTCTAACGTTGGGATTGCCACGCCAAACAGTGTCGGCGGCTTTGCCCTGAAATTGCTGCAATAAAACGAGAAAACACTATGACAATACCGAATCGAGCTTTATCTCGCGTATTAGAAGTATGTTTGTTTCATGAGAGGAGGAGGAGAGATAACCGAGGAATATGACCCGCCAAATATAGTCCGTTGCAAATCGTGCGACCGACTCTCGACGCGGTGAAATTGTACATTTCTCCCTTTCTCGCCTTTCGCGTCGCGTCCACAGCGCTATAGTCCACGAAGAACGCTGCGATAATAAAAGTAGTTAAAATTCTAAGGAGGAAATAAATCGCCCCCATCGTTCAGCCATTATAAAAGTTAAAAGTCCATCGTAAACCTTGTCCCGAAATAATTGGACATTTTCGTGTTGGAATCATATTTGAAGACCAGATGAACATCAACAAGACTTTCCCACATTCGCGTTCGCTTTCGTAACCGCCGGCCGATTTCTCGTCCCGCTTCCCGTGGTGCTTTTCTGTTAAATTGCCAAGAAGTTCAGCGACGTATTTGATACCCGATATATCTCGCGTGTATACCCGAAAATACGCGTTCCGTATTTTCGTATTTCGACGGGGGCCAGGTTTCCCTCGGGGCCCCAGCCTCCCGCCGACCACGTGGCGCCTCGTTGGATGCAGATCTTTTGCACGCGATGCCTTTCTGCGTTCGTGCGGAGGAAACGCGCGCGATCTCCCACACACGTAGCGTTGGCGCTGACAACAGTTTTAACGGACCCCCAAGTTCCCCCCTCCCCCCCTCCTCTCCCCAAGTGCTCCCAAGTTCGACAAGTAAGGCCGCGGATCTTTCGCCCACGCGCGCGGTACGGTCGCGTACGATTTCGCATGACCCTCCTCGCGTGTCGTTTCTGTTTAATCCTTTCGCTACAAAGAGCCACCAGTGGTTTCCATCGTTGCATTCACTTTGTACAAAGAGCCACTGTAATGAGCTCGAAACGAAAATTTTTACGTAGAAATACACAGGACACTGTGTTCCATTACTTGGAAAGTATCTTTTGGCTTTCATCTTTTTGACTTTCATCTATGTATGTAATAAAATTCACTCAACGTGATTTTTCTGGATGTATTGTACGCTATATGTAATTTTATGTTTTATATATATATATATATTGTTATTTTACTTGACAGGTAATTGTTGCGAGCTGGTATTAAAAGACGCGTACGGAAATAGATTTTATCGAGATGTTTACGTTTTGCGAAGGCAATGGAGGTACGGATATAACGGATGGAAGTCACTTCGTAATACACAGATACGATCGTGAATGAAACAGAAGTGCACGTTTTTATCGAAAGGTTGAGGATAATGGCGCAGAGGAGCAAAACCACAAAGAGAAGAGCGAAAACTCTCGGTACTGAGCAATGATGTCACAGGCAGACGGTAGCCCTGAGAGAACGTTTACCCCGTGGCTCGAAAATAGGTTTATACGCCTATGTATAGCACTTCGTTAAATGTATTTAAACGCCACACTGCAACGAGACACTTTTACAATTCGTGACGGTGGTACACAAACCGCTGAATGGAAAATTAAATTTATCAAACCGTTCACCTGAATATCCTCTTTAGGCGCGAGTCATAAATATTGTATACCACGGGATATTAATCGACATGTAAAAGATAGTATTATCATTGGTTACTTAACGGCTTGCGTACTTAATTATAACTTCCATCGTAATTACTATGCAAGTTGCCTTTCGCGCGCATTTAGCAGGCACTAAACTGCAAACGTTCGATTAAAAGTTCTCTTGTCTAATTGCGCATTCCATTGATTAAAGGAAACAGAAATAGCATTCCGTCTACGTGTTATTGAGATCGTATTATTGAGATCGTAATCACGAGTATACTTATTACGTGAGTCTGTCGAGTATGAGTTTGCATAACAACGAATAAGAGGAAAAGTGATACAGGGATGCGATTCTCCATTTTCAAGAAGATGGGGTTCTTCACCCTCCGGATCGATATGTTGCATCACATGCGCTGAAGATGTCAACATTGCACGAATATGAAATGTGACCTCTTAGATCTGCTTCTTTTTATTTTTATATCTATCTCTCTCTCTTCATATTATAAATGCTATGATTTAAAAAAACGATTTAAATAAAAATAAAATACTCTATATTTTAAGATTTGACGATTTTTTTCTAATAATTAAGACCTTGCTTATTATCTAGAGAAACTGGAAAATTTATATATTAGAATTATTATATATTATTATATATTATATATTATTATATATTAGAATATATTAGAATTTTGTAATTTAAATTTTTTAAAGACGTGTCAATTTTCCACATAAATGAATAAAATGACTATTAGTGAGCAAGATGAGTGGAAACTAATTTTTTTTATAAATTTTTTATATTACTCTTATTATAATATTTGAATAACTATAAAATACAAGTAAATACTTAATATAAACACAAAATATTATTTATAACAATATAACTTTAAGAAAATAAAATCTAGACAAGAATAAAAGTAATAATTATTTATAATTACTTAAAATAAAATTAAAGGAGGAACAAAAATAATTATTTACAATTATATTATTTTTGATATAACATTTGTAATTTAATCTCAAGGTTATTATATTTATTCATTTAAAAAAAATGTTGCAATATGAAAAATGGAAAATAATAATATATTGTTATATGCATTTTTAAATATACACTATTGTAGTTTTATAGAGACAGTGAAATTATATATGTTTATTATAATTGTAATTTCTTATCAATATTACAAAATTACATATGGATGTAGTTACTCAAAATACATCTTTTATTATATTATCTATTGTCATTGACAGATTAAAATCAAATTATAACGGATTATCTATTATCATTAAAAACTTGTAAATTTGACACGAACTCGTTATCTGTTATTAGTTTAGAAAAATCATCATGTTATATTCTTCGTCATCTTATCCTTCTTTTCCCTATTTATTAAGTATTGCTCAACATTTTTTTTATTTTATTGATTTTTGTTTGATAATTTAATAAAGAAAAGTTTACATGTATAGTCTCATTTTAAAGATGCAGAATGTTAAAAATTCTAAAACTGCCATTTTTTTAAATATTTACATATCTATGTAAACTTTTTTCCTTATAAAATGATTTCAAAAGTCAGCTCTTCAAATATCAGTAGTTACGAAACATCCTGTAATATTTTTCTTTTTGTGTCTAATACTAACTTTTTTTTTCTCCTCTTCGGATTGTTATCTTTGAAAAATACCGAATAATATAAAATATCACAATATTGAATATGATATAAAAACAAAATATAAATTTGAATTTCTTACTTGAATGAGATAATCGCTTTAAATGACACAATTCTGAAAGCGAAGAATACGAGAATGCGATTGCGTCAAGGCATTTCTATTATTAGCTGACTTTTTCGCCATAGTTAGAAGTATTAATTAATATACCGTAATAGAGAGTCTTACGTACAAACACTTTCTGTGCTCGTTAAATTAACCGGTAGATCTCGATTGCCTTGATGATCGCGTCAGTCAGTCACACGAGAGTGACGAGATTCCGCCGAAGGAGGATAATCATTGCCACCGCAACTATAATCATCCGATATGCGCCATAAATTCAAACGACGCATGCGTCTTTCTTTTGCAGGTTGTTCAGAACGGACTAGAGATCCTCACGTATCTCGCCGATCGGATGGGTCACGACTTCAAGCCTTACATCTCTACCATCATCCAGCCGACGATAGATAGACTAGGTGAGTACGGGACGTATTCCACCTGTTTGTCTCGTAAATTGTCCTCGAGAAAGAATAGACTGCCAAGTCGAAGATTTCTATTATTATTTACGACGATCGATAATTTCACAAACAGCTGATAATTGGCACCGATAAGAGATGGAGAGATATTTCTGCCATAAATATTCCCATATTTTCGATACAAAGCTAGCCATTTTTAACATCGAGTATTAATTAGAAAGCCGTCCCTAGGCCTGTATCTCGAAAGTGAGTTTCGCGAGCGTTTCGCTGCGTATTGAGTGAATCATCGTTAATCGCTAAATGTGTTCCAAATAGAACGAGCCGAAGTGAAGTTTAAACGCCTTTAATGAGATTGAAGTCTATGACAGATGTGTACACCATATTTGTCGAGAACCGGTCGGCCGATCGCTTTCAGCTGTCGGCCACGAAGCTGATGTTGAGAATAAGCTTTCCGCGCGCGCGCGCACGTGTACATGTACATGTACATATGCAATCCGGCAATATTCCCGGTTGCGTCGTTTTCCTCTTTCAATTTTTACGCAATTTTACGCATGCGAGAACAAGCATTTAAATCCATTGTTTGTTACAGGTGACAGTAAAGATGCTACTAGGGAAAAGGCGCAACTGGTGCTCCTGAAAATTATGGAGAAAGGATGTATGTCTCCTCAGAATCTTCTGGATAGACTTCGTCCAGCCTTTAATCACAAAAATGCAAAATTACGAGAGGAAGCTCTCATCTTATTGACGACAACGCTGAACGAGTGAGTGACCTTTTTACGTTTCTTTATAATGAATTATATTTATAGATAGAATGTTCTTCCTTTGAATGAAACACATGAATTTTTTTTCCAGACATGGAGCGGATGAAATGGCGTTGTCAGGGGTAATCCCGAGTATCGTAAAGTTGCTATCTGATCCATCGGAAAAGGTTCGGGAAACCGCTTTGAACACGCTGGCGGACATCTATCGACACGTAGGCGAAAGATTACGCGTCGATTTGCAAAGAAAGCACAATGTGCCGCAAGCCAAGTAAGTGAAATGGCCGGAGAAAGCGAGTGTCTTGCGGCTTTCAGTCTGCATAGAATTTCATGATGTATCTCCTAATCGTGATTCAGCTCGAGAAACTTCTCTTTTCGCTAAATATTATTCGATTGGCACGACGCGTTAACGAAACCATAAAATCCCCCGTACGCCACATTACGTGAACTTAACTCATCCCTTCTGCTTACAGAATGCTTCTGCTAATAGAAAAGTTTGATCAACTAAAGGCCGCCGGTGATCTTTTACCCTTGGCGATGTCATCCGATGGTGAGTAGACCGATTGAATTCTCTGACGCCGCGGGGTATCGCTTAATTTAACTTCGCCAACGACGAAAAGAAAGGCGCGTGTGTGCTACGCAGCGCATATCGCTTATTCAATATGCACCACGAGACTTGTATCGTGCTGCCATCGCACAGCGGTGGAGTTTATCACGCGGCGATCCTGCCTTCGCATGCAGGAAGATTCCTCCACCTGCCTGCTCGCCCCGCCTCGCTCTCCTCGTAGCTTAACGTTACATGTATACATCATGAATATTTACCGAGGACCGCATGTTCTTCGATGTGATGGGAATATACGGTTGCTTCTACGGTACTACGTACCCTCATCGCCGACTTCGATTTAATGACACGTCGATATCATGACTCGATCGGAATTTTACCTCTTCGCTTCCGGTGAAAAGAGTGAACAACATTGACAGAAACATCGTTCGAAGTTGGCGCGTGAGAGAAGGAAGTCGCTTGCCGTTCCGTCGCGTAATGTTGCGTTTCCTTGAACGGGCGACGCAACGAGGTCGCTGAGTCGCGTTATCTGCCTACTGCCACGGGGATTATATAATATTGTGTACGGAGCGCGATAGAATCGCCCGCGATATATCGTATCGGCATATTGTTTCAAACACGACGCACCGCGCCTGTAATCCATACCGAAGCTAAGACTATCCCGCCTCGAGTCGGACGGCCTTGTGACACCGCCGTTACTCGACTTTGCCACTCGACTCGGCGGGCGTTTCGAATTTCGATCGCGAATATTACGGTCGTGTCACGTCGGCAACCGCACACTTGGTACCCTCACCTCTCAGCCGTTAGAGAAAAATCCGCGCAGAGATCGACGACGATGGACAAAAGTTCGTTCGACGAGAGAATTGCCACTGTGCCGTGGCATTCCACTTGCGCAATGCAAAATGTTGCGGTCGCTCGCGGAGGGACTTCCTCGTGCACGCAATTGCAACACTCATTGCAAATATCATCCTCGCGGCTGTATCTTTATCTTTCCCAAGGATTTATCGGAGTTCCGCGACATTTCTCGCTCGAGCGTGCCGCGATTATTAGTTGCCGTCATTAATTATTTTACCGCTTTTATTCGTGATAGTTCCGCGAAAGGCCAGGCGATTCTCATCGTTCAACAACAAAATTATTTATCCGATATAAATTACTCTTGCAAATCGAAGTAATTAAACATTCCGCTGTCGTGACATGCATATCGATGGAAAAGTTTACTAAATAATTATTGACAATTAAATACGGAGTCATTCGTTATTCTGATGAAAGTAGCAATTAGAATCAATGACATATATCAACTATACTATGTTTAATAACTCTAACGCTATCGTTATCCGGAGAATTTTTAAGTAGATGAATTTTCCATTTTTTTCACTCCTACCTCTCGCTCGCTCGAAGCTACTAAGATCGAGGATGCGCATCTACGATCAAGTCCGTTTCCTTTGGCTACATCGTGCGCATATACATCGATCACGATTAGATCATACCTGGGCTTGGCAGGAGAAGTCGCGCGGCGCTTCGCTTGATTTCAGAGATATTAATAGAACTCAAAACAGCCGTGAAGAGCTAATGACGATCTTCCGCGAAGATCGCCGTCCATCCCCTTCATGGACATCCGAACTTCCGGTCGTGGCGAAGTCCGAGGGATCGATCTCAGGCGTTATTAGAGCGATTCGCGGCACGTTCTACACACTGATTACGCATCCATGAATATTTTAGTCTCCCGCACGGGCTGTGCTCGATAGTGTCAGTATTACAGAATCCCAACGTTAAATACCGTACGCATCTAACGTGCCTCGCATGCTACAGCCTACTAGGAGAAACGTGTAATTTAAATCGGAAATTATCCCGCGTGAAGAAAATTCAATATACTCCCGCGATTAAAATAATTCCGAAGAATTACACGTCGATCAACCGCGTTATACATCTGTCCTATTCATTCATGCATGAACGCGAACGACGTTTGCTTAACGCTTTGCGCACACATTCAATTTTCACTTTTTTTTTTATGATTTACGCATACTTCGCGATCGGGTGACGTAATCACCCTCGTGACATGCCGTCCGGCATGTTTTGACGATCGGATGCCCATTCGACGAGTACGAATGAGAATCGCAGGAGACATTTTTTTTCGCCATGGAATTTTTGATTAAAATCGTCATCGTAGATGATATTCTCGAATATTCTCGAGGCTATGCGACACGGAAAGGTTGCGCGCGCCCGGTGAGCGAATAAAAATTTGCATAAGTCTCGTTTTCGCTCTCTCTTTCCCTGTGACCCCGTGCAACGCGATTGTGTTAGAACCTCACGTTAAGGCACGGTTATATCACGAGATCTCGTCGAAACGCGTTAACGTTCCTCTTGAGTCGCTTCTTGTATCTAAAAAGATTTCGCATTTAGGAACGAAATGAAACAATGAATAAGAAAAAAATCCGTAGCTAATTAAAAAAAATATATATTTATGAGTAAAAGTAAAATATTTTTAGAGATAAATTATTATTATATATAAGTGTACAAACATTTCATTATATAGCAGTGTTAAAAATATTACACAAAATATATAAAAGCTTTATTATTATATATTATTATATATTATTTAAAGTTAAAAGTTTTTAGAGATTTAGATCTAAATTATTCTACTTTAGATACTTCTTAGATACGAAATAATTTTAATTGCATCAATGGCGTCGCAATGGCGTTTTTTTCTTATTTTACGTGATAGAAATTACCCTGTTACACGTCGAGGATATCGTACCGCCACCCGCGCCCGCTCTTAATCTCGCGCCTTATTACACGACCTTACCCCGAGGGCAACGAGATGCAATGCACACGTGCGCAAGTGAAAGGTAGGGTAACACGCAGATTTATCTCCGTAAAACAGCGCACGGTTCCACGTTGCGCCGGTTGTGCGCACGATCAGATATGAAAATACAAAATAGCGCCAGGCTGCTGCCCTTTCATCGCGCATTCTTTGACCGTTGCCCCGTTACCCTTTGCGAAGCCAGGCCAATGAAATGTATTGTCCGAGTCTCAAAGAAAAATTAATTGAAGGGAAAATAAATTTCTTTTACTTTTTTTTTTTTTTTTTTTTTAAATCCCTGTCTACGCTTAACCTTTATAATTGTACGTTAATGAACTTCAGACTTGTGCTTTTCTCTTACTTTTCTGGTTTATTTTATTAAGACATTCGAAAAATAAATTGCAGAAGATTACGACGGGAGAAGAGATTTTTCGCGGCATGGTCCTTCCACTAGAACAAAAAGGGAACAAATTGTTCTATAATGGTATAATAATTGTTTGCCTAACCCACGTGACACATGGCGTCGCGCGCGATAAGCATATTTATGTGCAATTACGCGCAATGTATATGCGCTATTATATAACGACGTATTATCGCCTGCGTTCTCGGTGCAGAGGCCGTGTGGGCGATTCTTCTTAGCGTTGTCTCTCTAACGGCAGTGCCTCGCACGCGGGAATCAACACTTATATTTTCCGATGCCGATGATCTCATGGCGCGTGACGCCACCCAGAAAATCTGTAATCGACCATCGGAGTCGCTCGTGGCTTTTCTTTTATTCTTCCTCCCGGAACTGCACACCCTGTTTTGCCTGAGGTTCTTACCTTATCGTAATAAGGGATCTGTTAGTCCAAAGTCTCTTGCTCAAGATCATCGTGCATCTTTAAAACGAGCCGTGCTAACTATTTCGCACTATATTTAGATCGTATTTTTCATTTTAACGATCATATCTAGAGCACTCTTATTTAATTTAACGAAGTAAAAATTTAATTCAACAAGTAAAATGAATAAATTGGCTTGCGTCAAGATTGCGATCGTTTGACGATAAGCTTAAAACTTGAAAATAAGTTTAATGATAATCTTTTTAGAAACCTGTTATGAGATAAAAATTGGAAAAGGAAACAAAGTGACTCGACGAAGATTTACCAGGAATTTTTTCCGAGACTAAATCTGTCTTTATTTATCAACTCGTGGTAATTTTCCATATCGTCTTTGACGCACGATGAATGCTGTCAATTTTCTGCGTATTTTCGAGATTGTCGCATCATTATTTCCTCGCTCGACGAAAGTCATTTGGAGAGTATCTATATTAGCGACCAATTATACGTTTCATTCTTTTTGCGGTCCGATACACAAAAAGCGGAATTCAAGCGTCGGTTTATTTCGTTGGACACCACATAATGGTGTCCGTAATGGTTTCCGTCTTGCCCGTGGCCGCTTGATCGCGGACGTTTGATCGCTCGTCATAAATTGATCTTTGAGCACGACGTGTCAAACCACTTTGGAATTCGGCGAATTTCACAACTTTAATCATTTGCCATTTCTCCCAACACGGAAAGAACAGCTCTGCTGGCAAATCTGACAACTTGCCCAGACACAGATCTAAAAATAATTTCGTTGGACTATCAAAATTATTATGTAAGATATTTAAATATGATAATAATACTTTTTTATTCAAAAAATTTTTTATTCTAATTTTAGTCTAATTTTTTATTCTATCTTTCATATTTTCTAACAACCAAACGTCGTATATAATAATTTTGAAGATTCAACAAAATTATTTTCCAATCTATATCTGACGAAGTTTCTAGATTTGCCAGCAAAAGTATTCTTCCCATGTGAATCCCCATTATTTTGAATTTTATTAACAAATAGTCTTAAATTATTTAAATATTTTTTTAAGACAGGAAACGTCTACTTTTTGCATGACGACGATTTTGTTCCATTTTCTAAAGAGTTCCCGGCGATGTTCTACGATTAATTTTTATATCGCAAGACTCATCTCTCTCACGTGAATATCGTAACGAGCGAATATGTAATGGGCGCTAATTAGTAACGAATTAAATTACTAACTCGCTTTCACCAAGGACACCTGGCGCGATTCTTCAACTCCCGGGAAACGCGAGAATCACTCGCCGGAAGTCGCGTATTTTCTAACTCTTTCCCTTTTCCGCGACATTTTACGTGACGT